TCAATTTATTTGTTTCATTTATTTATTTATATATATATTTACACATAGAAATATATGTATATACACACACATACATAAAGCAAAAAAAATGCTTGTGTCTCGCTCACATATTAATAGTGACAACTAGCCTACCCTTGCCATAATTTCCGTAACGCTTCCTGAATATGTCCACAAAACTGTGAGCCTACAGGTTAATACGCACCACCGTACGTTTCTTCGTTTGAGTACACCTCCAAGTTCTACCAGTTCCGAAACCAGCTGGCTCATGGAGAGAGTGAATTCTCGCTCCACACTCAAGTACCGTAATTTCTGGACTATTGAGCGCACCTGAATATAAGCCGCACCCACTAAATTAAAAAAGATAAAAATTATTGTACATATATAGGCCGCACTTCGCTATAAGCCACAGGTGTCCATGTTGTACCATGGGATTTTTACACAGAAAGATTTTTTTTTCACTTTTAATTAAATAAATGCTTTTTTTTCCCGAACAGTGCCCGTAACACGGCTGGTTACACGTTAGCTCTTTCCTGCTGTAAATGCACAGGGGAGACTTGGTAATCTGCTCCAGGGCCGAAGCTAACATTAGCTTCCGGGGCTAACTCGCTTCACTTTGTGCTTGTCCGCAGCAGAGGTAAACAGAAACAGGGAAGTTGGATACTGGTATAACTAACAGTAGTCTATCTAGTCGTTGGTCGCTAGCTGTATGAACTTCGTTAGCCCGTAAAAATCCACAAATTAGCCGCATCATTGTTTAAGCCGCAGGGTTCAAAGCGTGCGAAAAAAGTAGCGGCTTATAGACCAAAACTTACGGTACTTTGGGTGTACGTTTGATGTTTCCTAGCACTTCTGTCAGTACAACCTTATGTCATTATGTACAATGTACCTGATAGCTACATCTGCTACCACATTTTGTCCCCAGCTGCAGAAACTCCTTACCATGGACCCCACCAAGAGAATCACATCAGAGCAGGCATTACAGGATCCATATTTCCTTGAGGACCCATTGCCAACCACTGAGTGAGCTTTTACTCTTGTTCACACTGCAATATTTGCACCCACAGTCTTGTCGCTTGCAGGTTTTGCATTTAGCAACTAACCACTCCTACCAGCGGGTGATTTGCATGATTTAAAGATCTCGTGTTTAAGTCATGTCCACAACACTGGACACACCAGACTTGGGTCCGGAAGGTTTACCACTGAGGTGCTTTATCTTCTTTAGGTATTTAAGCAATCATGCGCAAGAACAAAAAAAAAATTTGATTGAATAAGGATGGTTTTTGTTTTTGCAAATTTGATAAATCTCAACTGCTGCCATTGACAGATAATGTAAGATTAGTTACAGGACCTTAACGTTTTTTTTTTTTCAAAAATCACAATAGTATAACTTTTATGACTCACCGAAGCAGGGTTAGCAACTGATTATGGTCATGGGTCAAAGTCAGAACGTGCCAAGCCAAACCAAAATTTAGGGAAGTGAAGATGAGAAGAATCGGGACAATCGATCTCTTTATACATTTGATTTGTGTGGCGCTTTGGCCCAGAGGTAATGTCTCTGTAATTGGTGTGTAACCCCAGGGTTCACCTTCTGGGCAAGATCGGATCCCAGTTAGGGTGGTTGGTACCTTCCAGTGGACTCACCAGCTGCAGGAAGGTTTAGGGGGGTTGGTACGGTGCAATGTGATTTGGGTGGCGACTGCTGCCCTCGCGACCCGGTAACGGATAAGCGGATGAAAATGGATGGATGGATGGATGGACATTTGATTTGTGAAAGATGCACAGGGACTTATTGATTAATATGAATTAATGTGGGGAATGCTTGAAACCGTGCAGCCATGGATGCACTGATATTGATACTGGCAACATACAACTGGATATAATAGGTCAATCGGACTCTGATACTCTACTGTTTTATTTTGAAAAATGTAATGATCCTTCAATGCTCAGCCCCTTGCTACCGGTCTGTAGTAACGGGTGGTACTGGCTGACCAGTCCTTGGAACAAAAAAGGTCGGGGAGACCACTGGTATAGATGTAACTACTCCATAACAGACTAATACATGTTTCTGCAATTGATTATTATTTATTCAAGCAATAACACATATTGTCCATTGCTGTGTAAAAACATCTTATATTAAGAAACTCTGCTAAATGGACTTTACTAAACTCCCACGGGCCACACGAAACGGCTTGGCGGGCCGCATTTGGCCCCCGGGCCTTGAGTTTGACACGCTAAAAGTTCCCATTATCATAACAAGATGAGTGTTCACCAGATTAGGTACTTTCGAAAACAACACAAATACTCGGAGCGTTTGGTCCGTTTTAAGTCTGTTTGTGTTTGAGCACAGCGTTCTGACACAAACTTGGTAGCCTCATTTATCCGATAACCTCTCGTCCGTCCGGCCAGACGGAATCCATTTAAGGTGGCAAACTACTGTACAATGCCAGAAAACAACCTGGAGAATGTTTGTGAAATGTTTCTGATGAAACAACCAATGACAGGCCCGGTAGCACGGCACAAATATAAACTCCAAGGTCCAGCCTGACAGGGACAACAACGTTAAGGAACTATATCGTTTCGTCTGCCCATTTGAGGCAGAACTGATGGAGGTAACGTCGAACAAACAACTGGAATCATGGGAAATGTAAGGACAAAGTGATTTTCAGGATGGTCAAAACAGGCAAAATTGCAGGACAGGATTTTCTTGTCAGTCCGTATGCTGACGATACAAATTCTATTATGTTCTTTTACTGCCACCTGGTGTCCATTTTAGGCAAAAAAATCTTTCTTGAGCAGATCGGATCACTTGTAACAGAAAGGAAAGACAAGAAAATACCAGCTGATAATAAACACATTTCATTTGTAAAGCACCAAAAATCTTATACGCCTTGTTGATACTAACTAAAAAAAAAAAAGATTTAAAAAGGGATACTTCAAGTAGAATAAGAGGAAAAAAAGGGAAATTGGAATCTCAATGAAAGATTACGGGCTGCAAAAATAGCAGAAGTTAATCTTTTTAAATGCTTTTTTTTTTCTTTTTTGACCAGTCAAAATGCCGAATGTTCCCCCTTATTATTGTAAACTCAAGTTTACTCTTGAGTAAACTCTCATGTTTCCAAAGGACCAGATTTATCTGTACGATCAGAGATGTTCTAATCACCGACTTCTTTCTGTTCCCATCAGTGTGTTTGCTGGGTGTCAGATTCCATACCCAAAACGAGAGTTTTTGAATGAGGATGAGCCAGAGGAGAAAACAGAGAAGGTAATTATTCAAGTACTATATTACTTTTGTATGTATAAAGTTCATTGCTATCTAACTAACATTTTAACAACATGCTTTGATTTTTTTTAAAAAAACGATGGTTTGAGCATAGTTGAATTCCTTTACCGCCCGTTTATATCATTTTTTTCATGGACTACGTTACCCATAAGGCATTGCGGAAATACATACCGGAACGCTAAATGCTAAACCGCTTAAAGTAAAACCCGCGTAGACAAACAAACACAACAGAGTGTGTCACCGACAAAATCCATTTGTTTCAACATCATAGCGGACAGTGAGGTACACAAGGTTGCCGCTTCACCAGTCAGTACACATACTCAAGTTCGCGCCGCTGCAGTTCCTGGTCCGGCAGCATAAAGTGTCCCAGCGGAAACGCACACTCTGGGAGAGTTCTGCTTTTATTTTCCCGCGTTGGAGAGGGGAAACTTGCGTTCGGTGTAGGGGTGAGGGTTTATGTTGTTATCGTTGTTTAGGCATTTCGTGTTTCCTGTCATAATTATAGCGCTGTAGTTATTGGTTGTGTCTTTTGGCTATGGGAAATCATGTACCGTATTTTCCACCCGATAAGGCGCACTTAAAAGCCTTTAATTATCCCAAAACTCGACAGTGCGCCTTATAACAGCTTATATATTACTTCAGGTTGCGCTTTACTGACCTCGAACCGATTTTATAAAGCCCAACCGCCTGACTCTGGAGCGGCGAACAACAACAGCGTCCTCCGGTGTCCAACTTAGGTCACTACCCTTTTCCACAAATCTCCGTCCCTTTTGATCTGCGACTCCATGCGCGCCCATTTCACCGATATTGTCAAAACCCAAGTGAAGCAAACTAATTCGGGGACTTGGCTTCATTCCGGGTGGATTAACCAAAGAATTCCAACCGCTAAATATTGGTGTTAACATGGCGTTTAAAGTTAAATTACGAGCTGCGTGGGAGCATTGGATGACAGAAGGCGAACATACATTCACCAAGACAGGGAGGCAACGCCGGGCTAGTTGCGCCACTAGCCGGGGACGGATTGTGGATTCACCATAAGAAAAAATGTATTCTTCCTTTGTTATTTAGGTGGAAATGCTAAGTGAGGTCAGGACGGGGACGTCGCTGCCTCACAATATACATATTGTGTATACCATAAATTCCGGACTATTGAGCGCACCTGAATATGAGCCGCACCCACTAAATTTAAAAAAAGACTTGCTATAGGTGATTATTCTGTATCATGGGATATTACACAGAAATATTTTTTTCACTTTTAATTAAATACATTTTTTTCTGAACAGTGCCTGTAACACGGCTGGTTACACGTTAGCTTGTTCCTGCTTCGGAGCCCTGACTGTAGTTGGAATGCACAGGGGAGACTTAGTGATCTGCTCCAGAGCTGAAGCTAACATTAGCTCCGGGGCTAACTCACTTTAACACTCTTCAACATGACAGGGCTCAAACTGCTCTCAAGTATTGCGTGCATCCTTTCATCTTCAACGTGGCTGTCGCGTTTTTGACTGCACACAGGTCAAACCATAGAAAAATGCCTGTGTTCTGAGGCCAAACCATAGAAAAATGCCTGTGTTCTGTCTTAAATGCCTTCAAGAAATGTGAAGTTTCAAGTGAATCTGTTTTTAAATGTTGCTGTTACCACGACGAGCCAGATCTACATTTGTACCAGAAGCTTCTTACCATAATTGCCGTAAACACGTATTTGTTCAAGCCAGAGTAGGACACAAAACAAGGGAAAATTACAAAAGTCGAGAGCCGAGACTGAACCTGGATGTTTTCGTTTGTTGCAGCAACACAGGGACGGTAAAATTGAAAGCCTGTACATCTCGTAAATACCAAGATATACATCGCAAAAAGAATATTATACAACAATAATATTGTAATATGTGTTATTTTGGGTTACGTTTTAATGTTGGTTGGTCTTAATCTTGGATAATCTGAATACCTGTTTATGGCAATAGTGACATTCTGACCATAAGTTATTGGCTCATATATGGTACATTTCTGTTGAGTGTGTGATTGAGTGAGCTGGACAAGTGGCGCATCAATCATTAAGGGCCCATGATCAGTGGAGTTATAATACCGACAAAAAATAATGTGGCACTAAGTTATAAACTACAGTAACTTATAATTACAAATAGTTTTGTTTACAATGTACTTGTAACAATAACTAAACATATAACCTCATTTGTTTTGGAAACATTACCGCTCACCCCTGTCTATTTATGCAAAATGGTTCAGTCCGACCAGATCATGCTGCAGTGCTCCCGTTTGTCACAGACAGCGCCACAGCGGTTAAGGAGGCGGAGAAACTAAAAGAAAGGAAAGCAGCCGAGTTGACAATATGTCACCCAGTATTAAAAAAAACCAAAACAATATGGGTTTGTTAGTGGTTTGTGTGGTTAATAACAAATACAGTCAAATGTTTAGCTAGCTGTTTATAGTCAGCTGACCTCCCCTCTGTCTTAATAATGCTGCGTTCCGAGCAGATTCGTCTGGTGCAGCAGCTGCAGCAGCTGTCCGTGAGCCCCCAACTCCATCTGCCCCTGAAACAGCCCGAGTGCCCCACATGAGGAAGGAGCTGAGCAGCTGTGTGTTGAATTAACAATAATAGTAATATTAATGACACTTTATTACACTTTATTACTTTTTAAAAAAAAAAAGATTGATTGATTAAAATAAATGAAATTATTTTATTAAAATTGTTCTGAACAATTTTAATAGCTTAAGCACAAACATTTTTTATTATTATTATTTTTTTATTTTGTTAAAATTCCACTCTCACTAATATGGAAGAACAGTGGGAACTCGCCAGTCGGAAACTGCCTTGTTCATTTTGCTAGCTTGGGGGTTTCAGTTTAGCAGTCAAGTCTTATGTGTTACCCGCTGGAGCGGACCTTTTAAGAAGGTAGCTGATGTAGGTAAGACATGTGACCAAGGCAAGCATTTTGACATGCATCAAGTGTGACTCATAGACAGGGAGAATCTGGTGATTTTTCCAAAGTAAAACATTGTTCAGAATCAGATAATAAATAAGTTATGCATTCTTTCTCGCCCTAAATAGAACAAAAATATATAGCTTTTTTGCGACGTAGCGAGGCTGTAGTTTTCAGTTTCAGTAAATGTTGACCGTCGGGATAAAGGCCGCATCCCGAGGCGCATCTTTTTTCCCCCAGTTGGGAAAACTAGGTCGGAAGGTTATGTTTTACGTGGGCATGCAAGTTTGTTATTTTGCTTTTTTTGTTGTTGCCGCCACTTTCAAACAAATTCGGCATACATACTCTGTGGGTATAGCCCCGCCTCCCTCCATAAAGAGTGGATGAGTGACAGTTATTCACTTATTCCCTCTTGTCAACTTGTCTGTTTGGAGGCGAGATATATCGAGGCTAGCAAGATGATGTACAGTGGTCCCTCTCCTATCGCGGTAGCTGCGTTCCGAGACTCTTAGCGAAAATCTGCGAAGCAGAGGCGAGATAGTTATTATATTATTTACATATATATTTACCCTTTACGAACCTCCCCCACACTGTTACCAACCCTCAACCCCCAAGACTCCCTCACCCGTTGTAACATTGACTTTTACAACTGATTTTTTTTTTTTTGGTCTTCAGAACCAGACCCAACAGCACCAGCAAACAGCAGGTCAACAACAGAATACAGCCCAGCAGGCACCGTCACAGCAGAGTTCAGCCCAAACGAACGGCACCGCTGGCACCACGGGGGTGACCACAAGCAGTGGGTTACAACATGGCCAAGACCAAGGACCACCCAACAAGAAACCTCGAATTGGACCCCCGGGGGTCTCCTCAGGCACAGGAGTGCTACAGTCTGAATACCAGGTCTATCAGACATTTTACACGCAGTTTGAAGGTCAAATTTCACTCATACTCAGACCTAAATGTGACCCGTTAAGAAATCAGGACAACTGGTCATTGAGCTCATGAAATTATCACGGGAAATGACTACTGACGCAATGACAGGGGAGAGAATCTAGAGCAGGAGTGTCAAACATATGGCCCGTTAGACAGAACTGGCCCGCTAGGAATATGAGCACTATTTAGGACCATGTTAGCTGCAATTTAGCCGCATACTGGGACATACCGTAGTGTGTTAGCTGTGAACTAGTAGTGTAGTGTGTAACATGTGGTTTAGCACCTCACTAGCATGTACATTGTACACATAAGTAGCACTTATTTTGAGCAGGGTGTTAAACATACGGCTCGCTTGGAGACATAATACGGCCTTTCATCTGGAGCAGGGGTGTTAAACATACGGCTCGCTTGGAGGTTCAATCCGGCCCGCTTGATGAATCTAATCTGGCTGTACGTGGCCCTTGAACCAAAATGAGTTTGACACCGCTGATCTAGACGATACTCTGAGTAACATTACCGTACCAAAAACAAAAATCAACTGATTGAGGTGATTAATTTTTGATTGATTTTTAATTGATTCTATGGACTATACTGCTAGGTTAGTAGAGTATCCTGCGCAGAGTACTACAACTTTTAAACGCCCCATCAGTCCTTTGGCACCCTGAGATACTTACCTAGATCCTTCCATCCATCCATCCATCCATCATCAACCGCTTATCCGGGGCCGGGTCGCGGCGGCAACAGTCTGAGCAGGGACACCCAGTCTTCCCTCTCCCCTGACACTTCCTCCAGCTCTTCTGGGGGAACCCCAAAGCGTTCCCAGGCCAGCCGAGCGACGTAGTCGCTCCAGCGTGTCCTAGGTCTTCCTCTAGAGGGAGGCGTCCGGGGGGGCATGCGATGTAAATGCCCAAGCCACCTCAGCTGACTCCTCTCGGTGTGAAGGAGCAGCGGCTCTACTTCGAGCTCCTCTCGTGTGACAGAGCTCCTCACCCTATCTCTAAGGGAGCGCTCTGCCACCCTGCGGAGAAAGCTCATTTCAGCCGCTTGTATCCGGGATCTCGTTCTTTCGGTCATGACCCAGAGCTCATGACCATAGGTGAGGGTAGGAATGTAGATCGACAGGTAAATCGAGAGCTTCGCCTTTAGGCTCAGCTCCTTCTTCACCACAACGGCCCGATCCGCCTGTCCATCTCACGTTCCATCCTACTGTCACTCGTGAACAAGACCCCAAGATACTTAAACTCTTCCAACTGAGGCAGAACTTCCTCCCCAATCCGGAGGGTGCAAACCACCTTTTGTCCGGTCGAGAACCATGGCCTCGGAGAGGTGCTAATTCTCATCCCAGCGGCTTTACACTCGACTGCAAACCTAGATACTTATGTAGACAATATCAATGGAATGTAGCATACCCAGCCATTGGTGCTTTTTACATACGTTGGGAACTTATTTTATCATGATATAAGGTGGGGCAGCTCTCGGAAATCCTGATGTTATTGAATATTTTGTGAAGTATAGTGAGTGAAAAAAAGGCTCTTTGGCTACAGTGGCAAGATTTTCGGTGATGCTCACTGACATTTCCTTTCCAACCTTTAGCACTCCAGCTCCCGTCTGGGTTACCAAAGCAACATCCAAGGTTCCACGCAGCCCCAGAGCACCATAGGATACTCATCATCCTCCCAGCAGACTTCGCAGTATACCCACCAGTCCCATCGTTACTGAGGGTTCCCCGACACTCCTGATCTCTTGAACTCTACAAGCCAGTTCCTCCTCTTCCTGTTCTTTCCATACGAACCAAAGCGGACGACAGCAGGAGGCCCATGGCTGCCACATGCTGGGAGTACCTCCATCTGCGGAGCGAATCATTCCAAGTCAGCCTATCCACTTGCTGTGAGCCCACAATTGGCTAGGTCGAAAACAGGACCTGAACACAAAGGAAGCCGTGGCACTTACATAAGGAAATCCGTGTTTATATATATATATATATATTTTATATATACATATTTTAGTGCTGGGCAATAATTACAAATTGTAATAGTATTAATCGCATTATTTTCTGCAATTATTCATTGTTCTGAAGAAAATGAACGAAATGAAACTATTAATATTTATTAATAATGAAATGAATGAATTATGTCAGCAGTCGAGTTTCGCACACTTTTATATAAAGTGTAGCGGTATATGGAAAAAAGTGCAATACCGTTCGGTTTGCTAACACTATAAACAAATAAGTGCTTTTTTTTTACAGCAGTATTCCCTTTACATATTCGTTGTAGGAGTTACATATTGGTAGTGGGTAGAATGACGCGTACTGAATATCGCAAAAGAAAATTCCATTGTCTATTCCATGCTCTTATTCGCAGTCGATACACGCGGTATTGTTTGCACACGCTGCAATAGCAGTCAGCCCATAAATCAAACTTTTGGTCAGACATTCTCGAAACATACTACAAGGCAACCTTATGATTGATGACGAAACTGTAACGCAACGACTAAAATCCACCAACGTTATGCAGAAAATGTACATATGTTATTTCATATTTTCGTACCATTTGAATTTTACCTTTGCGTACCTTTCTTGACATTTTTCTATATTAATCATTCCATTATTGCATCAGTCTTGAAACACGTACATCTTCCGCTACTAACCCGTGTACTCCTGGGTGATTGAACCTCGAGTCAAAGTGCAAGACAATTTACCTTGATGATTAAACAGGATTACCGTATTTCCCGGACTATAAGTCGCTCCAGCCAAAGGATGAAAAACAGTGCGACTTACAGTCCGTAGCAGATGCTCGTACACAAGCCTAGAGTGCCCACTAGTGGCTGTCAGTGTGAAAATAACGCCCATGTACATTTTCAATGGTACAGGAGTAGCAGATACTAGTACACAAGCCTAGAGTGCCCTCTAGCGGCTGTCGGTGTGAAAATGACAACCGTTCAAGAACAGTAACAAGTTGCACCTGAGTATAAGTCGCAAACCCAGCCATTAACACGATTAATCACAAACACGATTAATCACAAACACATTCATCCAAAGCTACCCTGCCAACTGATTACAACTGTTTATCGATTGACAGCAAATTAACGGGTGTACTGCACTAAAGCGATACTTCAGAGGTAAAAAAAAAATGTAGGGGTTACAAATCATTTTAGTTCTGCTATACATTGTTTTTGTCCCTACCTGTTTTTACGCATCGTTAATTTATTCAATCCACTCCGAATGCTTATGGCTTCCCAAACCCTTTCCTTTATCCATTGTTAGTTTTAACGTGTAATTAATTCATCACCGAGCAATTCACTTTTAATATAATAATAATGATAATTCAATGCAAACAGCAACATGAAATGTGGATTGTGGATTAATCAGTAATGCATTATTGTATCAACTTGCCCAGCCCTAACATATATGTACAGCAATAGCGACTTTGTAAATAGATTTTTTTATTTTTTTTTTTACTTTTCAATAGAATTTTTACTTTGAGTTTGCCGAATGTTGTTGATGTCATTGTAGATAATGTAACAAAGCTATGAGAGGAAAGAACGATAGGACATCAGAGCAAGCACTGTCATCTCCGTTGTACTTTGACCTTAGTGTAACGTACACAAAATTCCAAGCAGGGATGTCCGATATTAACTTTTTGCCGATATCCAATATGCTGATATTGTTCAAACACTTCATTTCTAATTCCGACATCAACCGATACCGATATAGCAGTATGAGTTCCTGGACACCAGCATTCTGTTTTTTAGAATCGATTAATAAAATGATCTGCAATGCTGCCATCTAGTGAGTTACACTAGATAGCAGATATAGATTTCACATAAACGGCCCCAGAACTATTTTTAGGGCACACGATCATTTGACCATACCCAGGCTTCGTGTTATCGGGTTTTCATTATCGGAGGAAAACCGATAACGATTCTTACGGATGTTACATAATTATTCCGATATCGGTCGGCAGATATTATCGGACATCCCTAGTCGGAAGTAGAGAAATGAAAAATATGCATTCAACACCAACTTTAAATCGTGGTATTTCAGTAGTGAAGCCTCAAAGATAGCGACTAGAATTAGACACTTTCATTCGCTGTGGCCAGAGCCTACACTAATGCCATTGGAACCTTTGCAGTAACTAATGTTAGTCCTACGAAATTCTTACGTACATACAGGGCAGCTACTTATACCTATATCCACAACACGCCGCACTCCACTTCAAAGACGCTTCTCCAGACTGTTACTGCCTAATGTTTCAAAAATCAATCATCAATAGTGAGAGTGTGTGTATATGTGTGCACATGATATTTGGAGTAAGAGTATTTTTGTTTTTGTTATGCATTTTGTTTATACATATACCTTACAGAATTGCACTGACTGCTGCCAATCAGCAAAAAGCTGTAACAAGATCTGAAAGGGTTATACAGTGATCCCTCTCCTATCGCGGTAGTTGCGTTCCAAGACCCAGCGCGAAAAGGGGAAATCCGCGAAGTAGAGGCGAGATAGTTATTATATTATTTAGGTATATATTATTATATATTACCCTTTCTAACATAATTACATGCACAGTAGAGTTGTACGATGGCGACGCAGAGCCAAGTGAACGAGAGAGTGGCCGACAGCCAAGGGAAGATGCTGAGAGATGCTACGATGCATGAGCCAATCAGCGAGAGGAACAGAAGAGCATGCTCCGTTAGCCATTGTATTAGCCAATAGTATGCTGTGACGATCTAGGTAAATAAAGCTACCAGCGATCGTTCGCAAATGCGCTTATCTCAAGTTCAAAACGAGAATCCGCATTTTTAAAGCCAAAAGTTTAATTATTAATTTTAATTAGTTTTTTTGCTGTGTTTCGCGATATAGCGGAAATTTCGCGAGATCGGATTTTAAAAACAAAAAACGCGATGTACTGAGGGAGCGAAAGGAGAACCGTGATATAGAGAGGGAACACCGTATTCTCCTGTAAGTCCTATTCCTTAATGCAGGGATGTCAAACTCATTTTGGTTCAGGGGCCGCATACAACCTAATCCGATCAAGTGGGGCCGGACTGGTCTTTTTACACAAAAAAAGTACATTCGATAAATCTTCAGAGCTAAGTAAATACAATTTTTAAAAATCATTTCTTGAACATGAAGTGTTATGTGTGTGTTTTTTTTTTTTTTCAAAAATTATCACGGCCCGCGGGCCGTATGTTTGACACCCCTGCCTTAATGTTCTGACCCTATGAAGCTAGACATTTAACTCAGACTGGCACTGGTTTAAAGTCAGCTTTATATTATATATATATATATATATATATAAATTGTTTTTACAGTTGAATTGGTTTTTCCTTTAAAAATTTTTTCACGTACTTGCACATTCTTTCAAAGTGATCCTTTGATTTCACTGAATCGCTCGAAGGATTACCGATACACGCGCATCAATTCTGTTGTGCGTATGCGCGTACGTTCTCGATAAAGGCATGAAGTTTTCACTATGCATTTTGTTTACCTACGAACCATAAGCCAGAGGTCCCAATTTTTTTGCACTTCCAACCTTTTTCATGTGAGGCAATATTCTCGCAGATCCGTCAGTCATGTGAAGAGGGATGTCGACACGTGAGAATCGCGTGCTGTTATTAACCTGTATTTTACATGTGATGTAAATGAGACTTTGGAAGCAAAGGGCTCATCTGTCTCTCTTCTGTGGACATTTTCCCCTCTTAAAGGAAAGACAAATTACAATAAAAAAAAATGGAAATACTGCAATGCACAGGTGTCAAGCTCCGGCCCATGGGACAAATCTGGCCCATGGTGTCATTATATTTGGCCCAGGAGATCATATCAAAAGTGTATTAGAGTTGGCTAATGTGGTATGAGCGGTGTATGCGCTATGTTATAATGCATACGTTTTTGGTTGTTTTGGTTTTGGCCTGTGAAAAAAGATGAATAAAGAACTCGAAAGGCTACAGATAGAGAGAGACGTAATGAGAAACCAATACCATTGATGTGTGTTTTTTTATTTCAAACCGAATTTCTCTTGTGTTTATAATATTAAGTTTTGATTCCAGATTCAATGTTTACGCAAAACTAAAGATGGCGACCCAGTCATCGTCCCAGTTTTTAATTTTGGCCCACTGTGAATTTGTGTTCAACACCCCTGAAATAATAGTGTTACTGCAGTGGTTCTCAAGTATTTACTGTCATGCCCCCTCTAGTGGACAGACTTTTTTTCACGCCTCCCGCCTTGAATTGAAATACTATACATACTACCTGATAGTATGTATTTACTTATTTGTAAAAACTTGCATAGGTATAGTTGCCATTGACTCCTTATTAAACACGATGTTATTTGGTAGCAGGCCACAAAGAAAACTACCGTAATTTCCGGACTATTGAGCGCACCTGAATATGAGCCGTGCCCGCTAAATTTAAAAAAATTTAAAAAAAAAAATAAAATAATTGTACACATTTTTTTATGACACTTGTTACCATATAGTAAGACCATTTTTAAAATGCACTGGATATAAGAAATACAAAGCATGGAATACATTTAGCACACATTTAGCATATCCTTGATAGTGGTGTTGATGTGGCGCACTTGTACGTAGCAATATAATTGCGTGGTAGCTTTTTATCCTTGATAGTAGTGTTGATGTGGCGCACTTGTATGTAGCAATATAATTGCGTGGTAGCTTTTTTAAGAGTGAGCCTTTAGTAAAGTTACTACAGTATATGTAAAACCTAAAATAGGCTATTACTGCCACCTACCGGGTGTGGGTTTATTTGCAGCCAGGGTCAGGGACCTTTTTAGCGGAGAGATTGCTAAGTCTCTGAAGTATTAAAAAAAAGTTATTTAAAAAATGAATAACGTTGTACTACCCAATGCATAAAATAGTTCCTAACATTAATGCGACTTCGGGTGCTGCGTGGTTTCGATGTGATTGGCTCCAGCGCATATTAAAAAAAGAATGTATGTATTAAAATGTGTAACAGAGTTATAAATACATGGTTCCGCCTGCCATACAAAACACACCGTGTAAGAAAAATATGAATTTATTGTACGGTCATTAAATGCAACACCCCTGCGACTGACTTTGTTTTCACTTTTTATGCCCAAAATAAGAGATGACGTACCACGCTGAGGATTTTACTGCAATTATTTAACAAAAACTTGAAGAGAGTATTTGCTGCCAAAAATACACAAATTTTTTTTTATTATTATCGCTATGATTTCTGTGATGTTTTACTTGAATATCAGTGAAATGATTGAATACTTTTGTGTTAAGAAATACCATCCAAGATTTATCTGAGGGTCAAATGAAGTCAAAAGAGCCACATCTGCGAGCCATTGGTTCCCAACCCCTGCTCTAGGTAAAGGTCATTCTCAATGTCCAATATTGTGAGCCTCAGTCTAAGGAACAAAAGCCGGCCCCCTTTCAAAACAATAGGGCCACACCAGTTTTAGTCCCAGCAGTTACTGATGGTCTTCTCCATGGGGTTTAAAGTTTTGTTGATGTTTTGTTGTTGATGTCTCTGCTTCAGTTCTTATCATTTTTAAAGCAACACTTTTTTCTTTATATGAATCTAGATTCACATCGTACAACAAATTGAATGTTAGCATTACCGTAACTGCTATTGAGCACACCTGTAAGCCACACCCACTAAATTTAAGAAGAAAAACATAATTGTACATCTATAGGACGCACTTCTGTATAAGCAGAACAGTGCCTATAACAGTGCTGGTTACGCGTTAGCTCTTTCATGTTTCGTCGCCCCAACGAAACAGTTGGAATGCACAGAGGAGACTTAGAGATCTGCTCCAGGGCTGAAGCTAACATTAGCTCCGGGGCTAACTCCCTTCACTTTGTGCTCGTCCGCAGCAGAGGGGAAACAGAAACAGGGAAGTTGGGGTCGTCATTATCAGCCACCAACTCACGCTTCAACATGAGGGGGCTCAAACTGTCATGTAACTTCGTTAGCCCCAAAAATTAGCCGCAGAGATCAAGGCGTGTGAAAAAAGTAGCGGCTTATAGTACGGAAATTACGGTAATTGGCCTCGAACTCCACTTCCTTGATCACCGTGCATCCTGCAGTCTCCAGGTGTGAGCAGGACCAGTGCAGCGGGTACATGAGTAGTATGCAAACTGTAGAGGATCCATAATTGCCCGGGAGAGTGAGCGAAGGTGTCTCCATCGTCTCCGTCAGGTGACATGTTAGATGTTAAGAAGAGAGGAAGAGAACGAGGAAGGAAGTACAGTAGAAGGTTTCTTGAAGACGTTTCACCTCTCATCCAAGTGGCTTCTTCAGGCCTCTTGGATGAGAGGTGAAACGTCTTTAAGAAACCCACTCCGTCCAGTTGCCCTCAGTGTAAGTATTCTTTGGATAAGATGAGCTGGATGACCTACACAGACAAGTACAGTAGAAAGGGTTACCATCGCGGTGTGGCCACCTACAGACTGGACAGTAGAAAACGGGTTGAGGTTTTTAAGATTCGACTTCTGGTTAAGGCCCCCTCCACCTCCACCAAGAATAAGGGAAAACCCTGAACAATGGATGTTAGTGGATGTTAGTAAATAGTATTAGTATATATATATATATATATATATATATATATACAGTATATATATATATAAGTGGACATTAGTAGATTAGTAAGTTAGTGGTAGGTTAGTAGTAATACAAAGTTAATTAGTATTGATAGTGTTAGATGCAGTAGCAGCAGTAGTGGTGGGTTAATAAATAAATAAATAGTTGTTGTTAATTATGCATATTGTACATTGGTACATATGCATACATACACATATATACATATATACACAAAATACCCATATATACATACATATATACCTATCTACATATGTACACACATGCATATGTGTAAGACATAAATACGCATATATACACAGGCATATACTTAGAATATAGAATATTGTTGGAAAATAGAATATTAAATGCAATCTCTCGGTACTCCCGGATGGCTTTATACCTTATTTTCTTGGCCCGACATATGACACCAGCTCTGCATCTCCCCTCCACTCTCTTCTCAGCGCAGTCGAGTTGCCCCGGGTCTCTCATTGAGGAGCACAGATGTTTTGCGCAACTCCCAACAGCTGGTCGCGAGTGTAAACATTTGAGCAGTAGTGGAGCGGATCTCCGTGTACGGTATTAAAAGAAATGTTAAGAAAATAAAAATAAAAAAAAGACTTAGTAAGTTGTTGAATTTTAAGGACACAACTTCTACATTTTTTGTTGTTGTGAAAAAAGAAAAACGAAAAACAAACAAAAACATAAACAAGGTAGGAAAGACGGTGCTGCTGCAACTTGCGGCCACCCGGGCGGCGCCATTGTGCACGTACAGTAGTTTGTACAGATAAGAATATACGTATTATCAGGTTCTCAATAGTATTCTAAATTGGGGAAAGGGTTTGGGGGGTTAAAAAAATTTCTGTCCACTAGGGGCGGGATGACAGAAAATAATTGAGAACCAATGCAAGAAAAGTCTATCATTTTGCTCAATATAGAACAAAGTTTGGTTTGAGGGGTGAAAAATATAATTTTTTTTTTTTAAATATCACTAACATTACATCTTTTAGGCTGTGAGGGGGTGAAAAATATAATAATAAAAAAAAATCACTAACATTACATCTTTTAGGCTGTTTATTATTGTAGTAGTGTATCTTGTTTTGCGGGTTACATTTCCTGGCTCTTCTTGCTGCTGGTATTTCATAACCCATCATACAGCAGTTGTTTGGTTCTGGCTAATGTCGTAACTAAATTCCCCATGGTTCTCGTTGCGCTGTGGGACCTAAAGTTATTTGTAGTCATCCTGGACATCTATAATATCACACTATTGTGACCAGCAGTCACGATACCATTCCTCCGTATCTGTCCTCCTACTTCTGTCCACCTATCCTACCAATTTTCTCTTTTCAGGATAACGACGGTGAAGTGAAAAAAGTTACTCTCGCGATATTATCTTGCCCATACAGCCGCCATATTCTGACAGTATTTTGATTCGTATCTGCTTAAAGTGTAGAAAAGTGAAAAGTGAAGTGCTTTCGGGGGAACGGGGCCTGAAGAAGAACTTTTATAAAGCAGTCACCAAGGTTGTATCAAACAGCACGGGCTCGAGGCTCACTACACGGCCAAACTATTTCGAGGACATGCGAGGCCCAAAGCCTTGGCACACTTAGTTTTTTTGCTTTCCTGCTCGTATCCGGAGCCCACTTGGCTTTTCCTGTCCCAGCTCCACGGCCCTCTGGAGCACCGCCGACGGCGGTGTCGGGTGTCGAAAACGGGCCGAAAAGCGGCTACGAAAGTGTAAGTAATGCGTTTTTTTAACAAGTTAAGAGGGTTATACATTTAAAGTGTAACTGCACTACTGTGTGGTTGTTTAAGCGCCACCGTTTACGGCACCACTTTATCTTGAAGGGAGAAAGTTCTTGTATCATGTGGAAAAAAAAAAGCTTGTATCTTTATGAGCTAACTACTTTAGCAGCGGGCTAACTCTGTTTTGGTAGGTTTTTCTAGTTAGCGCAGGTTAGAAAAACCTTACACGTTCAACTTTAACACTCGTCTGTACTTGTTGTCAAAGTAGTTTGACAGTAATACACTTTACTTGATTCAGTTCTCTGGAGCTACAAGTTTTGTAAGTCCAGTGCCGGGCTACGTTTTCCAGTAAGATTTGGTCTTAAATGGAAGGAAACATTAAATCACAAAAGTCAAGTTTCATTATAAATCTTCCAATGATGGCATCGTATCTCCCCCCGACCCCCACCCCCCCCACACGATCTGTTTTGTTTTTCTTTCTCTAATATTCTCAAGTAATCTTATGAGGAAACAATGGAGTCGTAATATTTGCGCTTGCTAGCTCGATTTTTGCGTCTTCTACGATGCAAATTGGGCTCTTAGTGCAGACATAGACTGGGATTTTTGTTGTTACACAACTGCAGAAACAAACTGTTGTTTGTTAGTGTCCGTGTGCATGTTATAACTACGAGGAGGTGGTCTCTCTCTACCTTTTTTTTTTGCTTACTGTGCTTAACAGTATTTACTCTTTGGCCTGTAGTTCTTTCTCGAGCTCGTTATAAGTTGGTGTATTTAGGGTAGAAACATGTCATGACAGTGCTAGAACATAGGTCGTCAAAACACTCAACGTGTCTGAACTGTTCATTGCTGCAAATGATATATTTCGTGCAGGTTTGAACATATAATAATGTCTAATGCTAAATGATTAATAGCAGGGAAATAAAAAACAAAACTAAATTAGATTAAGTAACCATGGGTGATACTTACACTTACTAATTTAAGTTTATGGTGGCAACAGTTTACAGGGTATGTTATGGTTTGGGGTCATCTATATGTAATCTCTTGAAATACATCATAGGAAAGGGTTGAACAGCAGGTGACACTGTTATGTATGGATAATGTTAAGTAAACCATGCCATTTAACAACAACTCAAGTGAACCAGCTCTACCCTTTGGAGGCTATTAAGGATGAGATTGCAGCCCTCCAAATAGTACGTACTAAGAATACCCGATTGGATGTTTTTTCAACCGATTTGATAACTGATTATTATTTGGTACTCATGGCTGATAGTATGACAGACGATTTTCCATCTTCAGTTTTATAAATACTACCCTTTGTATGACCTTTGTTGATGTTAGCCAACATGAAAGGCTGAGGTCTGACAACCGATAGCTCCGACTCGGCAATTTGTTTATATTGATAATGGAATTATTAAAATATCTTAAATTGGCCGCCCTTGGCTGTCATCGAATAATGCAGAAATGCCTCATGTATTAACAAACAAATCAAATTGAATTACCTCAGGCTTTTGGGGTTTGTGGTAGTCAAGAACATTTTGATCAAAATGTTTGATTGTTATTACGTTAGCCTAACATGTGATTTGCCTCGGAATACCAATAACGTTACTATAAAATATGCCGTCATGACATCACTTTCATAATAATCAGCACAAATATAAAATATTGATTTGAAAAAAACTTCGATTTGAATTTGATGTATTAGAAAGTATTCTTTCTGACAGTACTCAGATTTAAGTGTTGCTTACTTGCTCGCGGACTCTCTTTCCCGTCTTTCTCTTCTCATCTCGTTTTCCCCTTTCTCTCTTTGCTGAGGCAGACGGCTTAACAATAGGCGCGTAACAATTCGCACTGATCGAAATAACAAATGTATATTGCATCAAGGTGTAAGGCGTAGGCTGCATTATCTCAAAGTCAGTGGTCATACCATGAGAAAGAAACTAAAAAAACTTTGGTTTTCACCCGCTATTAAACCAATACGTCAGGTCCCTATTTAGGCTAAGTGACCAATAGGTGTTCAACTAGAATGTGGAGAGAACCTCTTCCACAGACGTAGTATTTTACTGTGGTTTTACAAAGAGAATAACTCTTTCCAGTTAATATTTTTTATATTATTTTGTTGTTTAATATATTGATAATGAGGGAGGTAAGGGGAGATGCATAGTGATGTACATTGTTGTTTTTTTTTTTGTATTTTGTTATTTAAGATAAGGTAAGGGGAGATGCATGGTGATGTACATTGTTTCTGTAAAGGTTCTTTTTTTTTGTATTTTGTTATTTAAGATAACTATTTCAGTTTATGAGGTACACAAGACCGTTTCAGTTGATAAAGGTATTTTTGTGTAATCCTTACATATAAATAAAATCATTGCTTTTGGTCATAATTTGTCTGGAGCTCATTTTGTTTAAAAAACAAAATTGTGGTAAAATGGGAGGTTTTTTTTTCCTCCCTGCCTCCGCCATAGTACTTATATTTTATTACTTCTGTCTGATATAATTGGATGTTCTATAATGTTTGTAAAACATATTTTGCTCTTCTTTGTATCGTTTCCTGTAATTTCCCGACTATAAGCTGGTACCTTTTTCACACACTTTGAACCCTGCGGCTTAAACAATGATGCAGCTAACTTGGCTAACCAAGTTCATACTGTAGTAGCGATTGTCTACTCTGTGAATGGCTGTGTATGGATATGTGCAAGGGGTGCGTGCAAAAGATGAAAGTGCTTTGAGGCCTGTCATGTTGAAGCGTGGGTTGGTTATACAGGAGCTGTTAAAACTCTTTTTATTTTCTGTTGTGGTCGGTGTGGCTGATAATAAAGACCCCAACTTCCTTGTTTCTGTTTACCTCTGCTGCGGACAAGCACAAAGTGAAGGAAGGAAGTTAGTTATGTTATCATTACATTTGTGGATGGTTTAGTGTCAAAATAATGTTGACAATATCATCATTTATTAGCAATAATTTCTGGGACAATATATTGTCCAGCAAAAGTTCTTTTCACTGACCTAGCGTCATTTAAAAAAACAAAATTAAAAATTAGCAATAGAGTACGTTTAGAATACGTCAGGGCAACTTTCAGATTCTGCAAATACAGATGTGTATTTTGACCGAGTTCCGTTTTTGTCATTTTGAAATAAATAGTCATATTTAGACCTGTGTTGATAATCAATAATTTCATTGATTGCACAATAAATGGTTATGAAGTCAATCATTTTGCCGGCCTCGAAAAATTGTCATGTGCGTGTGTTTGTTTTCACACACATCTTTCACTATATTTTGTTACAGCATTCTTCGTCCAGTAGAGTGACTGACCACTGACCATGTCTTAACTTTGGCTTTGCAATACACACATTTATATATTTATATATATTTATATATGTATATATTTATATATATATATATATATATAGATCTATATATAGATTAAACAGGACTATATTGTTATATAACAATGACAGTTAAGCTAATTAAAACAACAGTCTCAGTTCAAGCAATTGGCTGATGGAAAACATTTTATGTTTTTTATTAGACTTTTGATGACATGGCACCTTCACAGGTAATAAGCCCGAGGTAATTCCAATTTGTAAAGATGATAATTATGTATTTTACAAAGCTAAAGGAAGGCTAAATGTGTCCAAGAAAAATAAATGAAGAGAGAGGGAAAGCAGGCCCCTTTAAGAAAGAGGTGATGGTATTGTCTTCTACAGTTCTTCTTTTATTCAGTTCCTTGATATGACGCAACATCTTTCCGCCTGTGTACAAAAATAACAATTTTCGGTTGTAATTTTTCTGTGGTTTCTGTTAAAGTTTCCGAGTCCACTTGGTTATGGTGGTTTTGTAACTTTACATTTAGTCAATATACTTTTCTTGGCAATCAGTAAGTAAGCAGCAACTTTTGTGTCTTTGGATTTAGTCAGTGATAAATGAAGTTTTCTAAATCTGGAATTCATGTTTAGTTCATGTTGTGGGCGTATTAAAACATCTTAACTTTAGTTTCCAATCAAATTCTTTCACCAATTGACTGATCAAAATAAACAGTGTTTTTAATTCTAATCCTGTTTTTCTTTTCTTATGCAAAATAAATCTCAAAATTAACTTGTTCAGCACATTAACAGTTTTGATGGAAACTTTGATGCCTAGAGATTGAAATAGGAACAGGTAAAGAATTGAGTAAATAAATGAATTTGTATGGTCTCAATTCTACCAGCTGGAGTACAAATCTCCCATCTTGTTGGGTTGTTGTTTACTTTAACTTTAATCATCAATATTTATATAAATAATATAGTTAGCATCAAAAAGTTGTGTTAGATCTTGTTTAAGAATTATTCCCAGGTATCTAGATTCCCAGGTATCTAGATCCTAGGAATAGTAAGTAGTTATTAGGGGTGGGTAAAAATATTGATTCATCAATGCATTGGAATCCCTCCCACCCCCCCCAGAGCATAAGTTTGGTCGAGAACAGTGGCCCCTGCTGTCGGGGAGGGGTACCTACAGAGTCGCTCGGTGCACTGAGGAGCATGCTGCTACGTGTTAGTTGGTCTAAGAGTGAGCGGTGTGTTAGTAGTTACAATGTTAAGTTTACAGTATATAAGAGTTGGTGTTCATAAACTAGCCGGAGACGCTAGATATGGAACTAGCGTCTCCGGCTAGTTTATCTGTTTTTGCTATTGATGAAAAACATCTATTCCAGGTGATTCTTTTTTTTAGCAATTGTATTGTCTTATTTCAATTTCTTTGGTTTGCTCAATTGATTGTTTTGCTTCCTCTCCTTAATATTGTGGTTAATTTTAGGTGTACCAAAAAGGATCTCGACTTGCTTTTATTTTATTTATTTTTCTTCTTTGTATAGATTTTGTGAAGGTATTTGATTTTTTTTTTTTCGTGATTGTTCTTGACAATCTTGGTGCCTGGATTTCTAATCTATGGGGTTCGCACATATTTTTGGCCACCCAAATGTTTTGGCTGAAAAATGACCCATCCATCCATTTACCGGGTC